GAATCCCAAAGGGGCACCAGAAATGGGGCCTGTGCTGACCCGGTTGCTGTGCTGGGCCCCTTGCAGAGAAGGCCAGCTGGTTGGGGGAGCAGCCCCAGTTCTGGTCGAAGGCCCAGGTTCTGGACTGGATCAGCTACCAAGTGGAGAAGAACAAATACGATGCCAGCTCCATTGACTTCTCTCGGTGTGACATGGACGGGGCCACCCTCTGCAACTGTGCCCTTGACGAGCTGCGTCTGGTCTTTGGGCCTCTGGGGGACCACCTCCATGCCCAGCTGCGGGACCTCAGTGAGTCCAGGCCACTGGTGCCACAGGGGCCTTGGAGGGGAGGAGAGGGTCAGCCCTGGGCAAGACCTGGAGCCTGGCCGGAGGGTGCAGCCGGAGAGGGCCCTGAGGGAGGGGCAAGGGAAGTGACCCCTCTTTCCTTCTCCTCAGCTTCCAGTTCTTCTGACGAACTCAGCTGGATCATAGAGCTGCTGGAGAAGGACGGCATGGCTTTCCAGGACACCCTAGGAGACCCCGGCCCCTTTGGTGAGGCTCCTTTTCTCCCCCATGCCCAGGTCTACCTGTCCTGTCCCATCCCTGGCCCTACCTAGAGTGAGAGGAACGGCCCCTCCCCAGGCCTCCTACCCCAATAAGAAAAGTCCCGGCAGCAGCTCATCAGGCCCCGGAGCCTTACCTGCCCTTGCCTGGTCCCCTGAGCCCTCTCTCCTCTTCTCCTCAGATCAAGGAAGCCCCTTCACCCAGGAGCTGCTGGAAGACGGCCACCAGGCCAGCCCCTACTACACAGGCAGCTATGGCGCAGGAGCCCCCTCCCCTGGCAGCTCTGACGTCTCCACCGCAGGTGAGAGCGCAGCCTCCCTCCCCCAGGGCCCCCAGGGCCTCCGTCCCAGTACTGGAACCCAGGCCTCTGGGTCCTGTGTGGCAGCCAGGCACTCACTCTATCCTCCCCACCCAGGGACCGGTACTTCCCAGAGCCTCCATTCCTCAGACTCCGGTGGAAGTGATGTGGACCTGGACCCCACTGACAGCAAGCTCTTCCCCAGAGGTGAGCAGAGGGAGGCCCTGGGCGTCCCGTTCCCTCCTCCCTGCTCCTGCAGGGCTTTCTGGATAGGAGCTGCTTCCCCAATGACCACCCTCTTGACCTTCCACCTGCTCCCCATAGATGGATTTCCTGACTATAAGAAGGGGGAAAGCAAGCACGGAAAGCGGAAACGGGGCCGCCCACGGAAGCTGAGCAAGGAGTACTGGGAGTGCCTGGAGGGCAAGAAGAGCAAGCACGGTGGGTGAGCCCTGGCCTGCGGGCGGGCAGCTGGTGGGCGGCAGGCCACCTCTGCTCTGCTTCCCTGCTGCTGCGCCACCGGGGAGGAGGAGGGCTATATGGCGCTGGTCCACCCCTCACTGCAGGGACTACCATGTGGTCTTGATGAGGAGGGGAACCGAGGCTCCAGAGGGAGGCCGGTGGCTTGAGTGTTCAGGTTTCCAGTCCACCCACTCCAATTCTGTCTGCACTTAGCCATTGTCCTGCCTGCTGGGACACCCTAGGTGGTGGGTGGAGGCAGCTGGTGGGTGCCTGGGGGGGACCCTAGAGCCACTGGGCTGAGACACTGGACACCAGCCTGCTAAGGGTGGGGAAGGGGCCTCAGGCATTGTGTGCTCCAGCAGCTTTGAGCCCCTGGGAGATTGCCCTGAAGGCCTCTCTTGCCTGCGTGCTTGCTTGCATGCACATATAGCTGGTTTCTGTGGGGGAGTGTATTTTTCCAGGAAGCTGTCCCCTGGTCCCCCAGGCTGGGGCTACTTATCTGTTCCCATACTCAGCAAGCTCTTACCATGGGTTTCTCTGTAGGCCCCCCACCAAGCCATGAGCCCCCAGAGGCCATAGGGGTCCTTGTCACCATCCATGCCAGCCAGACGTTTGATCAGTATTGTCAAGAGTGAAACATCTGTGCTGTGCAAGAGGTGTCCAGTCTTCCTGGAGCACCTCATCTAGGAGGACATGAGGAGGAAAGTGCTCGCTACAATACATACTCCAAGGGCACTGTAGCCGGTTTCTGGAAGGTTTGGTTTCCTGCTCTGGCCATTAGTCAGCAGTGTGCAGGGTTATGGTTAAGGTCAGCCAGCTTGGTGAGAGGGGCTGCCCTGGCCTGCTGACTGAAGGGATGTGGCCTTGTAGCCCCCAGAGGCACCCACCTGTGGGAGTTCATCCGGGACATCCTCATCCACCCTGAGCTCAACGAAGGCCTCATGAAGTGGGAGAACCGGCACGAGGGTGTCTTCAAGTTCCTGCGCTCTGAGGCCGTGGCCCAACTGTGGGGCCAAAAGAAAAAAAACAGCAACATGACCTATGAGAAGCTGAGCCGGGCCATGAGGTGAGACGCTCATGAGAGTCATGGGGCTCATGACTGAGCTGGACATCCGGGGACTTGTTGATCTGACCGGTTGTTTGTGTTCCCCTCCCGCCTCCCCACCCTCTCTGTCACCCCTGGGATCCATGTAGTAAGTGTTAATCCTGTGGAGTGAGGACGGTGAAGTTGCCCACTGACCTGGGGGGTCAAATGGTAGCACGGAGAAAGTGTTAGCCTGGCACGTTGCAGGCACCGTGACTTCAGCTGACATATGTGTTATTTGCAAGGTGGTCCTAAGAAAGGCACCTGGAGAGTTCTGGAAAGACCACGGCCGTGCCTGGGCCAGGGCTCTGCTTGCTTGTCTCTGGGCTTCAGTTTCCTCCTGTTGCCACAATGATGGCCTCGCTCATGTCTAGGCTCCCTTCAGCCTGCACCATGTGCCTTCATGAAAAGGCCCAGGACGTAGCCCTAAGCTATAAACAAACCAGTGCAGAAGCAGGTGCCCTGCAGACATTGATAGGCCGGTGTGGCCTCAGCAGATGGAAAGAGCAGTCCAGGAAGTATGGGGCAGGCTCAGGTGGGTCTGGCTGCAGACCGGAGGGGACAGATCAGCCGAGGACTTGGGCCATTTGGGACGTGCTGCAGCGCAGGCCACGTCTCCTGCCTGCGCACCTCTGACCACCTTGCCTCTGGTCCAGGTACTACTACAAACGGGAGATCCTGGAACGGGTGGATGGCCGCCGACTGGTCTACAAGTTTGGCAAAAACTCCAGTGGCTGGAAGGAAGAAGAGGTGGTTCAGAGTCGGAACTGAGGAGCTGAACTAGATCAGGACCAAACTCATGGACTTGGACTGAGGCCTGCAGCCCTCCTGGAGGCCAGGCAGGCTTGGAAGCCCCTCCATTTGGATGTGCTCCCTGCGGAGCTGTGGAGAAGCCGAAGTCTGGTGTGTGGTCAGGCCTGTCCTGGAGCGGGGCCTGCAGCCTCTCCTCTCTCCTCCTTCTGGAATTATAAGCCCTGGGGTTTGAAGCGACTTGCTCGCTGACTCTACAGCTGCTGGTTGGCTGCTTCCAATCCCAACGCTGCTGCCGATGACACCTTCCCTGGCAGATGCTTGGACTCAGCCATGGAGACTGTTGGGGAGCCCTGGGACAGAGGGGACAGGCAGTGTCCTCCAGCCCCTCCTTTCTGGACTGGCTTCCACCTCTCTGCTCAGTGCTTGGGCTCCACGGCGGGGGGTCAGAGTATCCCTAATTTATGTGTTATAAATACGTCAGATGTACATAGAGATCTATTTTTTCTAAGGCATTCCCCTCCCCCCTCCTCTCTCACTGAGCACTTGTGGCCAGACTTGTCACCCTGCCTGGCCAGTGAGAGGAGGGCTACAGCCAGACCCCTCAAGATGGGGGTCCTGGCTCCTATCTCCTGTGAATGGAGGCCGAGACCTCCAATAAAGCGCCTTCTAGGTTTTTCTAACCTTTGTCTCTGCTCTCTGTGTACTGACATCTAGGCCTCTGGATCAGATAGGCCTGAGCTGGGAAAGGGGTCTTAAGGGACAGAGGGGGAAGACAGAGCAGCTGGGGGCTGGGAAGCAGGAGAGTGGGGCTTATAAGACCCTGACTGGGGGCAAAGAGGACAGGTAAGGCCGTTCACGACAGGGAAGGTGTGCAAGATGGTCACACAATCAAGAACATGAGCTTCAGAGGCTGCCACCACCACATGTGTGCTCAGTGACCTCGGCCACATCTGCCCTCTGGGGCTGCTTCCTCCTGAAGGACAGGGGTTTGGACCTGATGTTCTCCAAGACATCGAGAATTGCATGTCCAGCCTTGTGGAATAAAGAGGGGCCTCTGCATTCCAGCTAAGTTGGCTGCAAGTTGAATGTCTGTAACATGAATCCTAGCTTCTGTGCCTGATATGAAATCAGAGTTAAGATCTTGTGAAGGGGAGAAAGCAAAGCAAAATGGAGAGGATGCTTGCTGAGAAAGAATAGGGGAAGGAATTGAGATTTATTGACAACTGAGTCTTCTTCCAGGCACTGAGCTAAAGCCACTCTGCGTCTTCTCCTAAGAAGAGAGACTTAAGGTTCTCATTTTACAGTTGCAGAGCACAAGGTTTGGTCGATGTACATGGGTTCTGTCCTTTACCCTACCCCAGGTTGCTTCTCCAGCCTCACTAACTTCTAATCCAATCCTCAGCAGATTCCAGGACTGCATTACTGTTTCCACAATGATGACTCTGGATGGATTGATTATTGATTTATGGTATTGGGATTGAACATAGGGGCACTCTACCACTGAATACATCCCCAGTCTTTTTTTTTTTTTTTTTTTTTGAGACAGGGTCTTGATAAATGCCCAGGCTGACCTCAAAATGGAGATCCTCCTGCCTTAGCTTCCTGAGTTCCCCATGCCTAGCATGTATCTGGTGTTAGGGAGAACATTTCATTAATGGGACTGTCCATAGGTCTACTTACGAAGAATTTCATAGGCAGTTTATCCTTTTCCAGGTGGAAAGTTACTTAAGTTCAAGGCTTTGGATTCCACAGGGCACATGAATAACCCATTCTATAAATTTGAAATACTGCTCAGTTGTCTTGGAAATATCACATTATTTGCTGAAGGGGTGTTGACAAAGAAGGGCTCTTAGACATGGTGGTGGGCTCGTGAGCACAGAGCTTGCTCTGGAGAAACAGCAAGTGGTGGAAAGGAGAGTGGGGAGCTTGGAGACCATAGTGAGCAAGTTAGCCAAAGAAAGAGGTGGGCGAGGGCTCCGGTTCAGGCAGGCCTGGCTCCCACGAGAAGGCCACTTAGCTGGGGAACTTTGGTAACCACTTAGCATAACAGCAACCTCATTTCTCGAAATTTCATAGGCAGTTTATCCTGTGCTATTTGCTCTACCATATTATCTCCAGGGTCCTTTTCAAGCTTGAGAGAGGTGACCCAAAATTGCCTAAGATCACCCAGCCAAAAGTGACCAAGACACACTTGATAGGCCTCCCTAGATCCTCCATTTCTTCAGGTCCCAAAGGAGATCCCAGCAATGAGTTTCAACCAGAGAGCATGTGCAGGGCTGGAGGGCTGAGCATATGGCGCCCAGTACCTTCAAGCCCTCCAGAAGGGCTTGAGAGCAGCTGCGAGGCCCACACCGCCTGCTGACCTCTGTCCTGCTGTCTTCTGTTATGAGGCACTTTCTTCATCCCATTATCTCACTGGATCCGCCCCACAGCCTCTGAGGAGACTGGGCGTCCCATTTCTCTGATGAAGCCAGAGCCTAGCACAAGGTCACTGGCCAGAGGAGAGTAGGGACCAGAACTCAATGTGCTTGCCTGTGCCTGGGGCAGAGCCTGGACCAGGGACACGTTTCTTACCCAAGATATCTTTCTCCCCTTACCCAAGATATCTTGCTCTCTGCCCTCCCATCCTCAGAAAACCAGAGCGCCCGCATACACCTGGCCAGCTGTTCTCGGCCCCTCCCCCAGAGCTCTCTGTGTTAGGAGCCAGTTATCCTTACCCAACTGGGAGCCCTGGGATGGACTCACCCTCAGAGGTGGCCCTGTCTCTTGCCCACCTGCCCTGGGTCCCCTCAGGTGTGTCCTGGACTGGGGGTGGGGCTGAGCTGTTTATATCCTGCCCTGAGCTGCTGGTCACCTCTTATCGACTTCTCCAGGGTTGGGTGTGTTGCTAGGCAGGTCAGAGGGAGGTCACCCCTCCCGTGTTTGGGTGTGCCCAGAGGGGGCTGGGTCCAGGCCCAGGGGGGCTGAGTTTGCTGCCCTGGGCCTCCCCGGGGTTGGTGCCCAGAATCCCACAAAGCTCCACCCCTCTCACCACTTGGGAGAAACCCAGTTTACAAGGCTGGTCAACAAAGTGGGGGCAGAGCTGGAATTTTTATAAAGGGGTTTGTATCAGTCTGCTAGTTTGCTGCAGTTATCTGTTTACACATCTCCCTCCCTTACTGGGTCCTGAGCGCCTTGGGGCGAGTGCTGGGCTTGCTCAACTCCGCGCCTTGCACAGCGCACAGCGCCTGGCGCGCACAGAAGGTGCTCCATAAATATTTGTCAAACTGCCCTGTGACTCTCCCTGCCCTGGCCACCCCTTCCACACACTCACACCACACACCAGAACACACCCACACTCGCTCATGTGCCAAACTCACACATGACTCAAGCACCATCACCCGCTGCTACATATAACACACCCCTGCCCAAAACACTCACACTTCTAACCCACATATGCATATATGCTTCTGTGTGACAATCACACCACACACACACATACACCAGTCTCACACAACTACACCACTCACAACCAGACTCAACCCCTGCTGCGACCAGCCTTTTGTTTACACTGTCCATGTCCTCCCTGGGCTGGGAGACAACTGGCCTTGTCTTTGAAGCGTGGCCTCCACTCTGCCCTTCCTCCACAGGTGGGTTCAGCCCTTCCCTCTAGTTGAGACCAGCTACATAATTTGCAGCACAAAGAGGAAACTTCAGCCCTTGTTTAAGTTATTTATAATTTCAAAACTGCCTCAACAGAGCATAAGCTCAAGCACGGGGCTCTGTCCCCTGAGTGCAGGGCCCTGTGTGACAAAGGGAACACTGGCTACGTGTCCTGTGGGCTGTTGGCCACTCACCACGCCCTTTACTACAGATATGTCAGCAATGAGCACCAAACAGTGAGGAACTTGCTGACATTTTTAAATTGGAAAAAATTTTCATGGAAAAAAACTTTGTGGTTCTCTTTAAAAGCTCAGGAGCCCTGGCCGTGGCCAGTGAGTTTTTCCACGGGGCCAGTCTGCAGAGGGGGAACCAGGCCAAGCCCAAGGCAGTGGTAGCACCTGCCGTCCCAGCTATTTGGGAGGCTGAGGCAGGAGGATCCCTTGAGCCTGATGTTGGGCAACACAGTGAGACCCTGTCACAAAAGACGGAGGTGGAATCATGCCCTTCTCTATGGGGTCTTGAGTTCACCACCATTGCCACCACACAACACCTGGGTGGCCCCAGGGAGCGTGCCTGCCTCCCACCGCTGCTCCTTCCTGGGAGAATGTTTGATTCCCTCTCTACCTGGAAAATGATGGCTTGTCGAGGATGTTAATAAATAAATGGATGATGGGGTCTGGAATTGGGAGTAGTGATGCTCGTGGGTTGGAAGCCCAGCCAGCTCCTTCTGCTCTGAAGGTTTGCAGTGGGGATCAGAGGCCCCCTATATTTGCTGGGAAGTGTTACATTTTCTCACCTGCAAGACCATTTGTAGCTCAGTTCAGTGCCTGGCATATTGTGACCCTTACAGACACTGTGGATCATCTGTATGACTTTCTGGACTGGGCAAGACTGCCTAAGGAGAGGGCCCACAGATGGCACCACTGTCCAGCAGTCTGTCCAGTCTCTATAACTCTCTGCCTGCTGATGGAGGAGAATTGGCCGAACCTCATGTGTCTACACAATAGCTCTTCAGTTATTTTTTCCCCTACCTCATCTCTTGTCAGGCAGAACAAATACCTTATATGAGTCCCTACATCATAACCGTTTACCAACAGTTTGGAGAACAGAGAACTAGATCTAGAACAACCTTCATCTTGTAGTTGAGGAATACGAGTCTCCTTAAAGGAAGATGATTCATTCAAAATCACTCAGAATGCTGATACAGAGCCCGGGCTTAATATTGATAGCTGGTCCGTTATTGAGCACCTATTAGGTAATAGGCTACGTGTCAAGTTATTGCTATTTATTTTTGTGGCACTGGAAATTGAACTCTAGCACTGAGTTACATCCCCAACCCTTTTTTATTTTTTTATTTTTGACACAGAGTCTAAGTTACCCAGGCTGGCTTTAAACTTGGCTTTGAACTTGTAATCTTTTTTTGTCTCAGCCACCCAAGATACTGGAATTCCAAGTGTGCACCACTGTGCCCAGCTATTTACACCCATCATTCATTCATTCTCTCAGTGTTCATTCACTATCTGCTGTGCACCTGGCTCCATAGTAGAGACAGGTGACCCAGAAGGGAAGAAGTCACCCAGGGAAACTAAGGCCTAGGCTGGAGCCTAAGAAATTCCAAAAACATCACCTAAAACCTCCCACCAAGTCTGCTAGTTCCAGGCAAGTGCCTCATTTTACAGATGAGGAGACTGAGGTTTTAGAAAGCTCAAGAAACAGCTCAGGTTTTCAGAGCTAGAAAGTTTAGAAAACCAGCACTTGAACCTGGCTTCCCTCTTTCCTCAAGCTCACATCTGACTCTCCTTTGAAAGGTGCTAAGCAGCCTACACATCTTACAGCTGCACTGGCGCCTGAAATTCTACCATCAGAGGTGCAGTTTGAGAAGAGCCCTGTCTTTTTTTTTTTTTTTGGCGGTGCTGGGGATTGAATTGCACACACTAGGCAAAAGCTCTACCACTCAGCTATACCCCCAGCCCTTCTTATTTTATTTAAAAAAAAAGGTCTTGCTAAGTTTCATCCTCCTGTGCCAGCCTCTGGAGTT